TTATACATATATTTTTCACCCTCCTTAGTATCTAATCTATTATAAAGATCATTAAAAGCAGAATTTTTAGCATCACAGATTGTTCTTTTAGACTCCCTGCGAGCCGTTTGATATTTTCTCCAGTTCTCTAAGCTTTTACATTTAAACCAATTTTTATAACATAACTTCTTATATTTTATCTTTTCTTGCACATTATTATTCCACCACCAACTATTTTTATTTGTAAATATTTTTCCCTTTGATTCTCCAAGAACATCTTTTGCTACATGTTTAATAGCGTTTGTTACTTTATCCCACATCACATTTGCTTCTTCATGAATATCCCAAATTTTGAAATCTTGAATTTTACTCATAAAATTAATTTTATTTGTATCTTTTAAGTTTCTCCATCTAATTCTGCAATGATGAGTCCTAGTATTTTTTATTTTACAACTCTTAATCTTAAAATCTAAAACTAATAAACGATGTTGGGTATTTAAATTTTCACTTGGAATGACTTTACAATCTTTACAATCACGACGATCTCTTCTTCTCATAAGAAAATAATCAATTTGTGTTTTATTAGATCCACTCTTATAAGTAATAAGATGTTCATCCCTTTTCTTGAATAAAGTATTAATAATAACAAAATCAAACGCTAAAGCAAAATCAAACGCTTAAGAAATTTTTTTAACAACTTAGGTTAAAACTACAAGTATAAGAGCATCTAATAATCAAGTCTAAGAGTTCTGAATCTCCATTCATTTCGAGAAGAATTGTAATTTGTCATATCTAAGATACTTAGAATATCCATATGAAAAAGAATTTCATGTAAACTTTATTAGTAAGGATGCTAATACTCACATACAAGTTTAGAAATGTAATAAAGACTTTTTGCACAATCTTTTTGCACAAGTTGATTCAAGTGAAGCCAATTTATGATCAGACATCTTCTCAAGCTTCTCCTCACATAATTTTCTTTTCTTTTTGTTTTTCTTTTCTTTACTTTATGATCATTTTCAATCCTTTCTTTTCTTTTTTTTCTTTTTTCATGTGAGGATTATTATATCTAGATAGTCTTTAATAATTTTGATCTTCACTATTCTCTTTTTAACGTCAAAACTTCTTACCTTCTTTCACTTTCTAAATTCATATTAGCTTTGAAGATTATTCATAAAGTTTCATTCTTTTCATTTTCATTCTTTTCTTCTTACATAAATTCTAAGTTTTTAATACTTTAAAAATACAATTATCTTTACTTTAAATAGAAAAAAACATAATCTTATTCTTTCATACTAAATATCTTAACTCTAGAATAAACCTTCATTTTTAAAGATTTTTGCTTAAATTTACCATAATATTTACAAAAATATATAGTTATTTAAAGTTAAACTCTAATATCCATGGTCATGTTAAATTAATTTTGAAAAGTATAGTTAATTGAGGAAAAACAAAATTTAGTTCACCTTTTTTAAAGAAATTTTTCTTTCCCCCAAACTTA